TGCTCTGGATGGTGTGAGACCCTGACCCCGCCCCGCGGTCAGCCCCGCCCCGCGGTCAGCCCCGCCCCGCGGTCAGCCCCGCCCCGCCCCGCGGTCAGCCCCGCCCCGCGGTCAGCCCCGCCCCGCGGTCAGCCCCGCCCCGCGGTCAGCCCCGCCCCGCCGTCAGCCCCGCCCCGCCGTCAGCCCCGCCCCGCCGTCAGCCCCGCCCCGCCGTCAGCCCCGCCCCGCCGTCAGCCCCGCCCCGCGGTCAGCCCCGTCCCGCCCCGCGGTCAGCCCCGCCCCTCGGTCAGCCCCGCCCCGCCCCGCCGTCAGCCCCGCCCCGCGGTCAGCCCCGCCCCGCCCCGCGGTCAGCCCCGCCCCGCGGTCAGCCCCGCCCCGCGGTCAGCCCCGCCCCGCGGTCAGCCCCGCCCCGCCCGCCCCGCGGGGACTGAATCTAAAACTGAAAGTGAAATCGGGTCACAGTCCCCGCGGGCTCCTCCCGGGTGGGGGCCGGGCGGGTCCCGCCGCCTCGGGGTGACGCTCGGACCCGGACCCTCGGGGCGACCCCGGCCAGTCCATGGGGAGGGGGGTCGTGACGGGCCCGGCAGCGGCTCACCGTCCTCGCTCTGGTTGTAGTAGCCGAGGGCGGTCTGCAATTCCATTCGGAAAGTCTGTGCGTCTCCCTTGGCCCTCAGCGTCTGCTCCTCCCAATACCCCGGCCTCTCCCGCTCCACCCACGGCTGCTGCATCCACGGCGCCCGCGGCTCCATCCTCGGATTCGGGGCGTCGCTGTCGAACCGCACGAACTGCGTGTCGTCCACGTAGCCGAAGGCGAGGAAGCGGGGCTCCCCGCGGCCGGGCCGGGACACGGCGGTGAGGAAATACATCAGGGAGTGGGGGCCTGGGGGGCGGACGGGGGGCAGGGCCGGGGCTGGACACGCGCCTTCCCGGCCCCGCGCCCCCGCCGGGTCCCCTCGCTGCTCCCCGCACCGCCGCCCCCTCCGACCCCGCACTGACCGGCCCAGCTGGGGGTCAGGACCAGCGCCCCCGAGAGCAGCAGGAGGAGGGTGGGGGGGCCTCAGGACCCGCATCCTCGGCGTCGGGGGGACCATCTGAGTCCCGGCGCTTCCGCGGAGGAGTTATACCCGGGAGCCGCGGGGACGCTGATTGGCTGCTCTGGAAACGGCTCAGCCAATGGGAGTGGGAAGTAGGGCCGCGTCACGAGTCTCCAGGAAGGAGGCGCCGACACAGGTTGGGAGAGGAGAAGTGAAACCAGGGCGCTGGGGAGTCCCCACACTGAGCTGCCCCCCCAGACTCTGTCCCTGCGGAGCCCTGAGCGCAGGCCTGGGCCCTGGGACTCGGTCCTGCCCCTCCTCCCGCGCGGGGCGCCGTCACCCTGTCCCCGAGGCCTGGCCCAGCCGCTGTGCTGTTCAGGGACTTTCCAGGGTTTTGGTGTCACCATCTCTGTGCGGCCTCACACACAGGCAGGCGCCCAGATAACCTGTGTGTGTGGTGACGTCATCATAGTGACCCTCACGGATCACACAGGGTGAGACAGTTATTAATCCATGTCGCATGCTCACTGCCTGTGAGATGGTAACAGGAGTCATGTTTTTAAAAAATATATATTTTATATTGATTTCAGAGAAGAAGGAAGAGGAAGAGAGAGATAGAAACATCAATAATAAGAAATAATCATTGATCGGCTGCCTCCTACACGCCCCACACTGGAGATGGAGCCCACAACACAGGCGTGTGCTCTGACAAAAAGTTGAGCTCTGACCTCCTGGTTCATAGGTCAATGTTCCACCACCGAGCCCCGCTGGCTGGGGAATATTGAATAGTTCCTGTTCTGTTCTGTCACCGTCCCCAGGGCTGTCTCGCTGGGTGGCTCTGGTCCTCATGCAGGTGATGTAAAGTGACGCCTTGTGTCTCTAAGTCCCAGACCTTCCCGTGCTGATGCATTTAATGACGTCATCAAAGCTCACAGGTGTTGCTGTTCCCACAGAGCCCCCTAGAAAAGCTGTCAGCACTGGGGAGCGGTCTAGCTCACATGGTGGGACACACCTGTTCCAACATTCTGGTTTTCTCTTGGGGCTGACATTGTATCAGGACAACAGGACTGTCAGTTGGCACCTGCCAGGGGATATTTCCTGAAGGGACAAGCTCATGTTCATTTTCTAAAAAATATATTTTTGTTGATTTCAGTGAGGAAGGAGAGGGAGGGAGAGATAGAAACATGAATGATGAGGGAGAATCTCTGATTGGCCTCCTCCTGCTCGCCCCATTGGGCATTGGGCCCACATAGGAGATTGGGCCCACCACTCGCACATGTGCCCTTGACTGGAATCAAACTTTCAGTCTGGAGGCTGATGCTCTACCCACCGGGCTACACCAGCCTGGGCACTCATGTTCATTATTGAGAAAGTGTGAGCCAGTTCACCGAATCTTAGCAATCCCAGCGTCTGTGCCATTCGTTCTGTTACGTAAACATGGGCCAGGCCGGGTGTGGCTCAGTGGCTGAGCATTGACCTATGAACCAGGAGGCCAGGGTTCTATTCCCGGTGAGGCACCTGCAGGGTTGCAGGCTAGATCCCCAGTGGGGGGCATTCAGGAGGCGGCCTATCCGTGGTTCTCTCCCATCATGGATGTTTCCATCTCTGTCTCCCTCTCAGTTCCTCTCTGAAATAAAATTTTTTAAAATATATTTTTATTGATTTCAGAGAGGAAGGGAGAGGGAGACAGAGATAGAAACAACCATAGTGAGAGAGAATCATGGATCTGCTGCCTCCTGCACGTCCCCTCCTGGGAATTGAGACCACATCCTGGGCATGTGCCCTCGACCTGAATCAAACCTGGGACCCTACAGTCCGCAGACCTATGCTCCCACCATAGAGACAAACCAGCTCGGGCTCAATTTTTTTAAAATGTAAACTTGGGCCCTAACCGGTAGGAGGTGTGCAGGAGGCAGCTGATCAATGTTTCTCTGTCATCAGTGTTTCTAACTCTCTATCCCTCTCCCTTCCTCTCTGTAAAAAATCAATAAAATATAATTTTTTAAAAAGTAACCATGGGACCCCTTAGAAAGAGGCTAGCTCAGCGCGCACACGTGATCTCCTGGGACATGAGGCCTGCCATGTGGCAGAAGTGTTTTTTGTGTACTTCCCAGGCCAGCGTATAAGGTTTTTTATCCTCCATTTTTATTAAAGACAGTTAAGAAATTAATCCATTTTGGTAATGAATGCAACATACATATGTCTTGTTTTTAAAAATATTTTTAATTTTTCAAATATAGTTGATGTACAATATTGTGTTCGTTTAGGTGTACAAGTCTGGTTAGACACTCATATAACTTATACAGTGATCGCCCCATACATCTAGTACCATGTGACCTCACATGTAGTTGTTACAATGTGATTGACTGTGTTCCCTGTGCTGTCCTTTCCCTCCCCATGACCACACTGTAAGGACCATGTGGTGTTTCCTCCTCCTTCACCTGCTGTGCCCAGTCCCTCCCCTGCCTCCTGCACACTCCCCACTGGGGATGTGCCCACAACTAAGGTACATGCCCTTGACCCCAATCGAACCTGGGACCTTTCAGTCACCAGGCCGACGCTCTATCCACTGAGCTAAACCGGTCAGGGTGAAAATACTCTTGATAAATCAAGATAGAGTTCTATACATGCTGACATCACTGACGTCATAGTGAAAACGTTCAAGCTTCCAGGGAAAGACTAAGCCAGCCCAACGTGTCCTCGCGCTCCCTGGGCTGCAGGCCGCCGCTGGGCACTGGGAGTGGAGGGCGGCCTGCTGGTGCAGGGCGTGGGCACTGATGAAGCCATTGGCCCCGCTGGGAGACCGGCTGCCACTGTCAGCCACGGACACGGCCATTTGGGCACTGGCGCTGTGATGTGTGTGGCTTTCAAAGTCCACACCCAGGTTATTCACAGAAACCTCACTCATAAAGGGTTCAGGAAGAGCAAGGCCCATTTTCAATCTCTTCGCTGGCCTTTCGGACTCCTCACTGCACAGGGTCATGGGGTTCAGCTCCGAGGGGGAGAACCCAGTCTCAAACAGGTTAAAGCAGTCGCTGTCTCCCTGGCTGAGCAGGGCGGGCAGCTCCTCCATCACCACAGGCACGGGAGTCACTGGGCCGCGGGGCATAGAAAGCCCTCCTCCAGCAGCTCACAGCCCCGGGCGGGAGTGGGGGGGGGCGCCCCTGCACTGCCAGTCATGGCTGACAAGTCCCCTGCGGTGGAGGAGTTGACTATGTTCAGCTGCGGACCAGGAACAGGGTCAGGGCGGGAGGCGGTTAAGCCGGGAGAACTGACTGTCCCCCCAGAGCGTCTGTCTCATCCACCAGGCGGTCCGTGTAGTCCGTCACTCTGGGGCGGTGGTGGTAGCGCTTCTTCCCGAACCGCGTCTGCTGCGCGAAGCAGTCCTAGCGCCCGGACCTCTTCCCCATCTTCCGCAGGTAGTAGAACGCCACGCACTGCGCCACCGTTCTGGTCTTCACCCAGTGCTTCTGTACACGGTGAAAGTCTTTTCCAAAGACCATGAGCGCATGCTCAAAGCCCTGGATTTCTTCTTCTGTCCACGCAGTCATGCCCTCCTGAGCTGCCTTTCCGCCGCGGCAGTGCCTCTCCAGCGCCTCCTGGACGTGATGGTCGCACCTGAGCAGCTCCTGTAAAGCCCGCTCATCGTCCCTGGTGAGCGCTCCGGCCGAAACCCCGGCCACCGTTTTCTCCTTCCCAGTTCTGAGTGCGGCCTCGACAAGGTACTCCTTCACTGTGCTCTCCGCAACCACCCCGGGACGCCAGAGGAGCTGGCCTCCTTCTTCAGACGCTTTCTCATCATCATCATCATCATCATACTGTCCAAGGTAAGGGGGGATCTCGGCCTGATATTGTAAACCGATCCTTACTTCCTTCCTCACATCTTCAGGGGAGTTACCACTGTCAGTTTCACCATCTTCAGTCTCCGATTCTTTATCTCCTTCACAAGTAATATTTGAGTGTAATGGCCTCAGGAAGAAGTCGGAAGCCTGGTGGAAAGCCAGAGACGGCACCAGGTCGTCTGCGGAACACGGCGCCTCCTCGTCGCAACCTGACAGCAGGTCTTTTGCTATTTCCTCCTTGTCCAGTGTCATGTCTGGCAGCTGGTCGGCAAGTTCCCTTGGGGAGCTGTGGGCACTGGGCTCCCCCGCGGCGGGCAGCACGGGCTCAGAGCCGCAGAAGGCCAGCAGGTCTTCCGGAGGCATGCCTCCTTCCTTCTCTAAGGCTTTACTTTCAGAGCTGAAGTTTTTACCCTCATCCATCATCTCCTCTTCTTCAAGAGTTCTTTCGTAATCTCTCTCTCTCTCTCTCTCTCTCTCTCTCTCTCTCTCTCTCTCAGAGACAGACAAGTTACCCCAAGATTCCCCTTCGATGTGGAGTCTACAGAACAAAGTGAATGACAAACACACTCCTAGGCACGGGAACGGACTGATGGTTGTCACAACCGGGTCTGAGGGTGGGGGAGGGAGGCACTGCAAGGCCCCCTAAGATGCACCCACACCGCACCCCCCAAAATAAAATAGAATCCGGTCAAAATGCGAACAGTGGCCTAGACTAAAAAGCGCTCATTTAAAACAGAAACCTCGCCCTGTGCGTGAAGGGGGGGCAGGGGGACCCCTGGTTTCCACACGATCTCAGAAATGATGCAAGGCGCACACCCCCAGGTCTTTAGAGACCAACCTCCATGCATCCAATTGTCCGTCCAACCATCCATCCACCCACCCACCTATCCATCCACCTATCCATCCATCCATCCATCCATCCATCCATCCACCCATCCATCCATTCATCCATGCATCGGTCCTCACTCTCTTCCAAACCCCGGGTCTCGGACGCCCTCGCCCCACTCACCGCCTCTGCAGCGCCCACACCCGCAGCTCCTGCAGCCCGGACTGGCGAACTCTGTGCCAGGCGCTGGCACCCGCCTGTTTATATACCCGCTCCGGGCATCACTTCCTGTTCCCGCCCCGCCCTGTGATTGGTTAGAGACCAGGGTTGATCCATTTTTCATAATCCGCTGGGACATGGTTTCCGGGAGAGAAACGCCTGGGGCCGCATGGGGCGTGTTGGCGGATGAGCTGCTTAGCACGCGTCTGAAGGGTTTGAAGGACCCAGACACGCAGACCCGGCCCGGGCGGATGTGGCTCAGGGATACCAGCGCGGGCCTGCGTGCCGAGGGGTCACGGAGGGTCGCAGGTTCGGTTCCCTGTTTGGGCGCATGCCCTGGTTTCGGGTGCAAGCTCAATAGGTTCAATGTTTCTCCCCCCACCCTCTTTCTGTCCCTAGAAGTAATTAAAAAAGAAAATAATTTATTTTTTTTCTTCTTAAAAATAGATTTTTATTGATTTCAGAGAGGAAGGGAGAAGGAGAGAGAGAAAAACATCAATGATGAGAGAGAATCATTGATTGGCTGCCTCCTGCATGTCGTCTCCTGGGGATTGAACCCCAACCTGGGCATATGCCCTGACTGGGAACCTCCTGGTTCATAGGTCCAAGCTCAGACACAGCTGGCTGGGCTGTCTTTTCATTTTGTTGATGGTTCTTTTGCTGTGCAAAAACCTTTTAGTTTGATGTAGTCCCATTTGTTTATTTTTTCGTTTGATTCCCTTGCCTGAGGAGGTTTATCAGAAAAAATATTCCGCCCTCGCCAGTTTGGCTCAGTGGAGAGAGCATCAGCCTGTGGACTGGAAGGCCCCGGGTTCAATTCCGGTCAAGGGCACATACCTTGGTTGCAGGCTTCTCCCCGGCCCGGATTCTGGTCAGGGTCTGTGCAGGAGGCAGCCCGATCAGTGGTTCTCTCTCATCACTGATCTTTCTGTCTCTCCCTCTCTCTTCCACTAAAAAAAAAAAAAAAAAAAAAAGCAGCAGTAATAGCTAGCTTGCACTATTCAAAGCAGGTGTATCGGTCAGCTGTTGCTGCATAACAGGTCGCCCCAAACGTAGTGGTTTAAAAATAAACATGTAGCCTCTCTCGCAATCTCCGTGGGTCGGGGTCTTGCGACAGGTCTGGAACCACGTCTCAGGAGGCTGCAGGTAAGATGTCAACTGACGCTGTCATCCCCTGAAGGCTAGGGCTGGAGGGTATGAGGGGGCGCCCTCATGGGCCTCATGTGGGGTGGCCGAGCGAGCACTACCCGGCACAGCAGCCAGCTTGGATCAGAGCTGGTGACGGGACTCGTTCAGTGGTGGAAGGTGGAGCGGGGACAGAGGGGGCGAAAAATCAAGGCCATCACTCAGGTGTCTCAACTCAGAACGTGGTGTCTCGTTTCAGGGACCAGCGATGCGGGCCCCTCGGGACGTGATGGAAGGCTCCGGGGTCGGCCTCCAAAAGGAAGACGGTGGCATGATGGCTCTAGGTGAGCAGCAGACCCTTCCCGCACCACAGCTTTCTCCCCAGCCCAGCGCGGGGTCCCCGTCCTGCCCCTCACTCATTTCTCAGTGGGCATCCCTGGCCTCCTTGTGATAGGCCCCAGGCCCCGTGCTAGGCCCTGCCCTGGAGGGCAAACTGGAAGGGGGTAGGCTGGACAAGAGAACCCGCCAATGACATGCCCAGGGGTGGTTCTGGCCCGAGAGCTGAAATCCCACCACACCCCAGAGATGCGTGGTAGTGCCCACATTCTGTAGCTGCTCACATGCGTGCAGGCATGGGTAACTCACTGAGATCGGGGGCTGGCAAAGGCGTGCCTTGAGGTCCCCCATCAAACCCCACTGGGCAGGGTACGCGGCCTGAGATTCCCCATCAAGCCCCACTGCAGTCACCACTTCCCCTTGTACCGGCTCCCACCTGTCCCCACAAATCAGGGCATCACACACTCACCTGTCCCCACAACATGTCACTGGTTCCTGGCTGGTTCCCCGGCTCTCCATTGACCTCCGGGCTGTTCTCAGGATGTACCCCCTACTTCCTTATGGGGGATCGGGACGTCACAGACAAGTCTAACACATAGTCTGTGTCACCAACTTCCTCCTCGGAATTCTCCTGAAGGTACTTCTGCCCTCGCAAGGTGACGACCTTCTGTGGGGAGAAAATCAAACAAGATAAGACCCGGGATGTATCCTACTCCTTGCATGTGTCCTACTCAAGTCTCACACTTTCAGTGGTTGAGCATTAACCTATGAACCTGGAGGTCAAGATTTGATTCCAGGCCAGGGCACACCACTGGGTTGTGGACTTGATCCTCAATGTAGAGGCGTGCAGGAGGGGCCAGTCAATGATTCTCTCTCATCACTGATGTTTTTCTCTCTCCCCCTCTTTCTCTGAAATCAATAAAAAATATATACTAAAAAGAGAATCAAGGAATGCAGAAGTGGAACAAATTAATGGTTCTCACTCTTCCTTCCTTTCCCCATCTTCTCTCTCTCTCTCTGTCTCTCTCCCTCTCTCTCTCTCTCTCTCCTTTCCTCCATGCCTCTCTCTCTCAAGAACCAATGGGAAAAATAACCTTGGGTGAGGATTAACAAGAGAAACAAAACAGAGTTCCAGAGAGAGTTGGATTGAGAGATGCTGATCATGTCAAGACCAGAGTCACGGTGGACTCTGAAAAGAGCCAGAATGGAGGAAACAGGGGAGTAGGCCCACCATCCTGTCCCCTTTCTGATGCTTAAATACACTCACCTCGAGCGGCTTGCAGGCATTTATTTTTTTAATACACGGGGCCTCCCTGGGCTAGTGTTTCCACTTCCTGTGACGCTGTAATCATTTCAAAACAAACCCCAAATGAAGTCCCAGGTGATTTGGGTGTGAGAACCAGGGAGGACCGGCTGTGGTTGGAGAATCACAGTATTACCACCACCTGGGGGGCTCAGGGCACCAGCGTGCTGGGCCCATGCCCTGAGTTTCTGCTTCCGTAGGTTTTATTTTTAATTTTTTTTTTCAAATCCCCACCAGAGGATATATTTTGCATTGATTTTTATTTTTTTTAATATATTTTATGATTTCAGAGAGGAAAGGAGAGAGAGGGAGGGAGAGAATCATCGACATAAGAGAATCACATGGATTGGTTGCCTCCTCCATGTGCCCCAACCGGGGCAGGGATTGTACCTGCCACCAAGGTACGTGCCCTTGACTGGGACCAAAACCAGGGACGCTTCGGTTTGAGGGTCTAACCACTGAGAAACCCAACAGGGCTGCTTCAGGAGGTTTCATTGCCAACAAGTGGCCCAGCTGTGTGGATGCCTGCGGTCGGGGGCCATAGCTGGAGAGGCAGGAGTGACTGAATTGTTTGACTCAAGGGACCCACTCACCCTCCTCCTGAGTCCTAACTCTCCCCACAGGACAATGTCCGGGTGTGGGTACCAGGGTGGTGATGAGCAGACATCCGGGACACACAGCAGGGTCCATCTCGCATGGGCTGGACCTCCAGGGGGGTGTCCCAGACACTGAAATGGCCCCCCTTTTTTCAAAAAGACTTTGCAGACCTGGAGTCGCCACAGAGCAGCCAGCATGGTTACCACACTGGGCAACCAGAGCTCTGACCAGCAGAGTCAGTCATACAGGAGAATCCCCTGAGGAGCAACACCCCACACCAGGCAAACCCTTATCCCTGCGTGTGGCCACCAAGCCGGGGTGCGGGAGAGTCTGCGTTAGTTGAGCATCATCTTGTGCAGCAAAAGATTCAATCCTTGGAACAGGTGCCTACAGGGAGCAACCAATCTCTCTCTCTCTCTCTCTCTCTCTCTCTCTCTCTCTCTCTCTCTCTCTCCCTCTCCCTCTCTCTCCCTCTCTCCCTCTCCAACCACAATGCTCAGTGAAATGCAAATGTCAGATAAAGGAATAATTTAGAAGACACATATCTAAAAATGCTGTGGCCTTGGCTGGTTTGGCTCAGTAGATAGAGTGTTGGCCTGCAGACTGAAGGGTCCCAAGTTCAATTCCATTCAAGGGCACATGTGCGGGTTTCAGGCTCCATCCCCAGTAGGGGGCGTGCAGGAGGCAGCCAAATCCAATGATTCTCTCATCATTGATGTGTCCATCTCTCTCTTCCCTCTGCCTTCCCCTTTGAAATCAATACAAATATATATTAGAAAATAAAAAATGTGATGTATCTGACATCCACATTGCACTGGGTATTCTGTAGGGAATCTGGCCACTCTCCTGGGACCTCCCTATTTTACATTAAAAAAAAGGACAACAGAGGACAAACAAGAGATAATCATTGAATCATGAAATATTTATTGAAACAAACAGCAAGACTGACAGAGTATGGGGCCAATAGGAAACATGAATAATTACTCAAGGACCCCAATTCTAATTCATAGAACCCCGTCTGTCTAAGTGCTCATCGACCATTTTTGCATCAAAAGTTTCAGTTACCAATCTGTTACACCTTCACCAGAGGGACACACACAGGAGAGAGACCTGTTAATGTCCTCCTTGGTCAGAAGGGACCTGTGGCACCTCCTTGACATGTGCACTTTGGTGGCGTTTAAACGTCCCCAGTTGGCGGAAGGCCAGGTGGCAATGGGGACACGAGTAGGGTCTCAGGCCCGAGTGGGTGCACATGTGAACGTTGAGGTTCCCGAGGTGGCTGAAACTTTTGGGGCAGACGTCGCACTCGTATGGCTTGTCCTGGGTGTGGACCCGCTGGTGGCCACGCAGCGTGGACTTGTGGGTGAACCTCTTCTTGCAGACTTTACAGCAGAACGGCTTCTCCCCCGTGTGGATCCGCTGGTGGACGTGGAGGTCCGAGGCCTGAATGAACCCCTTGGGACACACAAGGCACTGGAAGGGTCTCTCTCCTGTGTGTGTCCTCTGGTGAATGTCTAACTGAGATCTGTAGCTGAACCTTTTGCTGCAGTCTTGACACTCGTAGGGTACCTTTCTCCCGGGTTCTTTGCCAACAGGGTGACCAGTGGGCTCCATGATGCTTGATGCACCCACTGAATTGCACCCGCGCTGTCTGGTGACTTCTCCTCTGTCCAACAACACGGCTCCTTCTTGAGGCTCGTCTTGGGGGGTGGGAGTGTTGCCCTTTTTTCTCTTGGTGGCACCTCCTGAATTCCCAGAACCTCTTCTCTTTGGACGCTGACTCAAAGCCTGTGTCTCCAGAACGTGGGTGGGAGGTACGTCACCGACATCCACACGCTCCAGACCAATTCCTTCCTGCGGGTTCTGCTCCCCCTCTGTCTTCACCGAGTCTCCTGAAAGAAAGCATTCAACACACAACATTAATCAAAGAGCACTTTCAACTCAGCTCATGGACTGAGCATCCACCCAGGAACCAAGAGGTCGCCACCTCCACTCCCTGACAGGGCACATGCCCGGGTTGTGGGGCTCGACCCCCGGTGGATGCCAGGCAGAAGGCAGCCAATCGATGATTTTCCCTATCATCCATGTTTCTATCTCTCTCCATCTCCCCTCCACTCTCTCTAAAAATAAATATAAGTATATATTTTTTATTAAAAGAGCACTTTTAACACTACCAAACGCCTTTGAACCAAAGCCGATGTAGGTTGAAAAACATTCCCATCAACAAACAAACCCAAGAATTTAGACCTTTGGGCACCAGGGAGTCTGTGATGGAGGAGGCTTGGCATTGAGAGACAACCGTCCCCAATAGATGACCACGCTGGATGCCCAGGTGGGGACCCAGCAGAGGGGGCATCAATAATGAAGCACAGTAATCTCTATTTTGTGAAACTGCTGTTTGAAATGCTCTGCTATTTTCAGAGAGTCCCTTGTTCTGTAAGTCAACTCTGCCATGTTCAGAAGGTCTGTTATTCTGTAAATTAACTTTGTTTTTTAGCTTAAATAATAGAAAAGATAAACGTAACTGTCTGACCTGGCAAACTAGCGATGGAACCTGAGGGGCTGAGAAGCTGATACTGATAATATTCCCATGCCAGGTGTTTGTTAGATACTATATGTACTCAAGGTTACAAGGTGTCTGCAAAAATAACTTACACAAAGACCTAGAAGGATATAAAAGAGGAATACTCTTTCCTTTGTTTTCTCCGAATTTGACAGAGATATTCTGCTCTGAGCCTGCATGTAATAAAGACTCCTAACCAATTGGCTCATTAAGGCGTCTTGTATCTAGCTCGCTGATTTATGACACAATAATCATTGCTCTACAAGCCCAGTTTCCATACTCACCAGGACTGCTGGGAAGTGGAGGCTCTGGAGATGTGAGTACTGCTGCCTCTTCTCTGTCTTCCATCATATCCTTCTCAAAATTCACCAAATTCTCCATGGGTCTCACACCCTCCAGATCACTTTTCGTGGGAATCATCTCTGGCAGGAAGACTTTCTGCCCCTGACAGTGGGTAACAAGGGGGGTTAAACGTGTCTGAGACCAGGGGTGGGAAGCTCCGTCCCTCCTTCCCCCGTCCTGTCCATCTCCCTGACCTGAGACCCCAGCTTACCTAACAGCACAGTTTTGTGGCTCTGCCTAGACTTCCTTGGGGCCAATCCCATCACCTATACTCCCAAGTCTGTCCTTATGTGTACCCATCACACCTTAAGTCAAGCCCATACATTACACTCCTTACTCTTTTTGTTGTTCTTGTTAATTCTCACCCCAGGATATTTTCCCATTGATTTTTAGATAGCAAGGAAGGGAGGTGGAAAGAGAGTAGAGCAAGAGAAAGAGAGAGTGAGAGAGAAAGACAGAGAGAGGCAGAAGGAAAGACAGAGACATCAATGGGAGACACATATTGACTGGTTGACTCCTACAATCACTCCAACTGGGCAGGGAATGGAACCTGCAGCGCAAGTATGTGCCCTTGTCTGGGAATCAAACCCACAGCTGTAGCAGCTATGATCACCACATCCACTAGTACCAGCTCCCACCTGTCCCCACAGATCAGGGCATCACACACTCACCTGTCCCCACACCACGTCACTGGTTCCTGGCTGGTTCCCTGGCTCTCCGTTGACATCCTGGCTCTTCCCAGGATGTACCCCCGTCTTACTAATGGGGGATTGGTACTTCATGGACAATTCCAACACATGGTCTGTGTCACCAACTTCCTCATCCGGCATCTGGACATCAAAATTCTCCTCAAGATACTTCTGCCCTTGGAAGATGACAACCTTCTGTGGGGAGAAAATTAAACAAGATAAGACCCGGGATGTATCATACTCCTTGCGTGTGTCCTACTCAACACTCACACTTTCAGTGGAACAACACATGGATGTTTCCCTCTCTCGCCCTTCCTCATTCTCTCTACAAAAAAGTTATTGTTTTAATCAATCAATCAAATAGCAACCTCCCAAATGGTGGCAACCAAACATGTCTCCCAACATTGGCAGAGGCTCCCTGGAGAGAAAGGCGCCGTCCCTGCACCTGGTCTGTGCCTCAGTTCCCCCACACGTGAGGCAGAACCGACACGTCTACCCCCTGAGGTTATTCTGAGGTCATTGGGAAAGTGAGCCCCAGGCAGGAGATCAAAGTTTCAAATATGTCCATCTCAGGAATGCTAATGCAGCCTGGCCGCCATGGCTCAGTGGCTGAGTATCTACCTATGAACCTGGAGGTCACGATTTGATTCCAGGCCAGGGCACACCACTGGGTTGTGGGCTTGATTCTTACTGCAGGGGCATGCAGGAGGGGCCAATCAGTGATTCTCTCTCATCATTGATGTTTCTCTCTCTCTCTCTGAAATCAACAAAAATATATTTAAAAAATAAAACACAGAAAATTAAAGAATGCCGCTGTGTACATTTACCGGCCCCCTGCCCATCATGAGGGTCCCACTCACCCATTTCCTGGGTTTCTCCTTATTTCTCAGCAAGACCTTCAGTTCCTCGCAGCTCTGCACTCGCCTCTCCTTCACCAAGACCTGCAGCTCCAGGGGCATGCAGGTCATGAACTTCTCCAGCAGAAGCTTATCCAAGATCTGCTTCTTGGTGAGCACATCCGGCCTCAGCCAGCGATGGAGGAGCGCAGACATTGTGTGCACGCTCTGGAGGGGGTCCGCGTCCTCTGGGTGTTGGAAGGCTCTGAAGAGCAAGTGCCACTTCTCACAGTCCCGGTGCTGTTCTTCAGTGAGGTTTCCATGGGGCAGTCCGGCCGGTGACAGGTCCCAGCCCAGGCTGCCCTGGGGGTGCCCATGATCATCGTAAAATGCCTGGTCTGTAGCCATATTCCCTGGGAACGTCTCTAATCGGACTGCAGCAAACCCAGCCTGAAGTCAGCTCCTGACGGAGAGCGACTGAAGGTATGGACTCAGTAGCCGGTTCACAGTTCTGGCGGAACGAGAGGAGAGAATGAGATGGGTTTCACCTGCTGATCCACCCAATACTAAACACCCCTCACTGGTCCCATATTGAGTACCCTGGAAGTTAACCCATAGTATTCTTCTTTTAAACAATATTTCATTTTATTGATTTTAGAGAGAGATGAATGAAGAGGAGAGAGAGAAACATCCATTAGTTGACACCTGCTGGCCCCCCAAAGGGGACTGAGCCTGAAAGCTGGGCATGTGCCTGACCAGGAAACAATCCAGTGACCTTTGGTTAATGGGTCAACACTCAACAGCTGAACCCCAGAATCTATTTCAATAATAAAATCAGCGTTCAGCTTCTCCTCAAGACAAGATACAGGGATCTGGTCGGGTAGCTAAGTTGTTTAGTGCATCGTCCCCCTAGGCCAAGTTTTCAGGTTCCATGTCTGGTCATGGCACAGAAAAGAGTGAACCAATGAATGCAATCCTAAGTGCAACAACAAATCTCTCTCTCTCTGTCTCTGTCTCTGTCTCTCTTTCTCTCTCTCTCTCTCATCATTATCAATTTTTAAAAAAAAGATAAGATTTAGCAATTCCATTGGCAAATTGTAATCACTGTTTGGTCATGATTCTATAGGAAAATACAGAAAACAAATATTTACAACCTGGAATTCTATGGAATTTAATATGTTGTAAATATTAAGCTATGATTGTCCCCTAACATTTTCTATTTTGTTCCAGACGAGGGACAGCAAAAGAGAACCCTAAGAGAGAGCCCTAGCTGGTTTGGCTCAGTGGATGGACCGTCCACCTGCGGACTGTAGGGTCCCAATTTCAATTCCGGTCAGGGGAACATGCCCAGGTTGCAGGCTCAATCCCTAATAGGGTGTGTGCAGGAGGAAGCCAATCAATGGTTCTCTCTCATCATTGATGTTTCTGTCTCTCACTCCCTCTTCCTTATTCTCTGAAATTAATAAAGATATATATTTTTTACAAAAAGAACCCTAAGCAGAAACCGTTTGGCTTAGTGGATAGAGCATCAGCCTGCGGACTGAAGGGTCCCAGGTTCGATTCCGGTCAAGGGCATGTACCTGGGTTGCGGGCACATCCCCAGTAGGAGATGTGCAGGAGGCGGCTGATCGATGTTTCTCTCTCATTGATGTTTCTAACTATCTCTCTCCCTTCCTCTCTGTAAAAAATCAATAAAATATATTTTTTAAAAGAATAAATAAATAAATAAAAATTAAAAAAGAACCCTAAGACAATTAAACTCCTACAGGTATTGTGCTATTGTGGCAAAATGCACAACCTACAATTCACCACTTGAACTCCGTTTTTTTAATCCACATCCAAGCATAAGAAGAGAGAGTGAAAAGGAGAGAGATTTGTCTGTCCAGGCATCTATGCCTCCATTGGTTGATTCTTGTGTGTGCCCTGACCCGGTGCTCTAACCAAGTGGGCCACGCAGCCAGGGCCTAACTCTTTTTTAAAGGGTTCAGTTTCGGGTTATTAAGTGCCTTGGAAAGGCTGTGGGGCCCTCTCCACTGTCTGGGTCAAGAACCTCATTTTCGTCACCACAAAAGGAAACCCTATCCCACCAGGTTCTCTGCCCACCCACTTCCTGCCCCTGCCCTCATTCACTGATCTGTTTGGATAAATGGATTAATGGGTCTCATATACATAATCTCATCCCAGAAAAAGCTCTTTGAAATATTCAGAAAGCAAGATTTTTAATGAGAAAAGGTTCACCATAGCTGGTTCGGCTCAGTGGATAGAGCATTGGCTCATGGAATCAAGGATCCATGTCAAGGGCACGTTCCTCAGTTGCAGGCTCAGTTCCCGGCTTGGAATGGGGTGCGGGCAGGAGGCAACCAATCGATGTGTCTCTCTCGCATGGATGTTTCTCTCTCTCTGTATCTGCCTCTCCCTTCCACTCTCTCTAAAAATCAGTGGAGGAGAAACCAAGATGGCGGCATAGGTAAACACCGGAGTTTGTTGCCTCTAACAACCACTTCAAAAATACAACTAAAAGACGGAACGGACATCATCCAGAACCACAGGAAGGCTGGCTGAATGGAAGTTCTACAACTAGGAGGAAAGAGAAAAACATACCGAGACTCAGAGGAGGCGCAGTGCGGAAGTAAAATACTAAGGTGCGGAGTGCGCTGGCGGCTGAGGGCGCGGTTGTCTGTTTCAATCGGGAGGGAGTCTCAGGCTCTGAGCTCCAGTTCTGGGAGAGTCTCTAGGGACCCAGACTCATACGGGAGAAGCGGAACCCTAGGGCAGCTTTCTCTCCTTGGGGCTTGCAGCGATTACTAGGACACTGAAAAGCAGAGCCTCTGAGGGCAAGGCTGAGAGCAGCCATAACTGCTAGCCCCACCCTGTTGATCCCGTGGGACCTGCCCCGCCCAAGCCCTGCAGGGAGGCTTTTGCTGGATAGCCTCAGGCAAAGGCTAGATTAGCACCTCCCTAGAGATCCAGGAGCCAGGAAGCCCAGAGGTCAGAGTGGGGCCATCCAGTTTGCAGCTCCGTGGAACCATAAAAGACACACTCAGGGGGCAGACTCAGTGAGCACCAAAGCACCATCGAAGCAAGTCTAGCCCCAGAGGGGTGTCTCCAGCACAGAAGTTCTCCCACTGCAGACACAGCTGATTCTCACAGCCAATTGGCCTGGAGGTCAATTCTTCACAGTGATAACTACAATCAAGGCTTAACTACAACAAGACTGTGCACAAAGCCCACAAGGGGGTGCACCAAGAGTGTCTACCTCAGGTAATTGGGACACTTAGCACAGAAAGGCACTCTATCGACACAGCGAAGCATAAAAAATGCCGAGAAAAAGAAACAGGACACAAACAGAATTGGAGGAAAGCAAACTGTTGGATATAGAGTTCAAAACCACACTTTTAAGGTCTTTAAAGAACTGTCTAGAAGCCGCCGATAAATTTAATAAGGCCCTCGAAAAGACTGGTGAGACCGCCGATAAATGTAGTGAGATCCTCAAGAACTCTAATGAGACCCTCGATGTTGTGATAAAGAACCAACTAGAAATTAAGCATACATTGACTGAAATAAAGAATATTATACAGACTTCCAACAGCAGACCGGAGGATCGCAAGAATCAAGTCAAAGATTTGAAATACGAAGAAGCAAAAAACACCCAACCGGAAAAGCAAAATGAAAAAAGAATCCAAAAATCCGAAGATAGTGTAAGGAGCCTCTGGGACAGCTTCAAGCGTACCAACATCAGAATTATAGGGGTGCCAGAAGATGAGAGAAAGCAAGATATTGAAAACCTTTTTGAAGAAATAATGACAGAAAACTTCCCCTACCTGGTGAAAGAAAGACTTCCAAGTCCAGGAAGCGCAGAGAACCCCAAACAAAAGGAATCCAAAGAGGACCACACCAAGACACATCATCATTAAAATGCCAAGAGCAAAAGACAAAGAGAGAATCCTAAAAGAAGCAAGAGAAAGAAACTCAGTTACCTACAAGGGAATACCCATAAGACTGTCAGCTGATTTCTCAACAGAAACTTTGCAGGCCAGAAGAGAGTAGCAAGAAATATTCAAAGTGATGAATAGCAAGAACCTACAACCAACACTACTTTACCCAGCAAAGCTATCATTCAGAAGTGAAGGCCAGATAAAGAGCTTCACACATAAGAAAAAGTTAAAGGAGTTCATCACCACCAAACCAGCATTATATGAAATGCTGAAAGGTATCCTTTAAGAAGAGGAAGAGGAAGAAGAAGAAAAAGATACAAATTATGAACAACAAATACACATCTATCAACAAGTGAATCTAAAAAATCAAGTGAATAAATAATCTGATGAACAGAATGAACTGTTGATTATAATAGAATTAGGGGCATAGAAAGGGAATGGACTGACTATTCTTGGGGGGGAAAGGGATGTGGGGTGAGGGAAGAGATTGGACAATAATCATGCACCTATGGATGAGGACAGTGGGTGGGGAGTGAGGGCAGAGGGTGGGGTGGGAACTGGGTGGAGGGCAGTTATGGTGGGGAAAAAAGAATAACTAATGTAATAATCTGAACAATAAAGATTTAATTGAAAAAAATAAAAATAAAATAAAAATCAATGGAAAAGCATCCTGGGTGAGGAATAACCAATAATAAGCAGAAATGTTCCCAGGCCCTAAGGGACCTTCCAAAGACCAGAGACACGTCCCAGGATTCACTGGAGCCCAGATCCCTCTCAAATGCTGCAACTATGAGCACAGGTCTGCCCAGGGTTCCTTCCACCACAGGGAGGGGCTCACCTGAAGGTCAGGACAAGGTCGCTGGAGAGTCAGGAGGGTGAGACCCAAGGCCAGGTGTGTGTGTGTGTGTGTGTGTGTGTGTGTGTGTGTGTGTGTGTGTGTAGGGGGTTCCCTAGAGTTTTTCCTATGTCTGGAAGGTGGGAGCACATGTGTCACAGCATGAAGCCATGACCCTGGGGATTGAGGGGTTTCCTGTCACTGGAAATCTGGGAGGAGGCAGGGATTGGCCTGGTCATTTCTAAAACATGTGGGCTCCTTTCACGTTAAGAAATCCATGGGAAAACAAACAGAAAATCAGCACCAACAACAAAGACAGCCAGGGAGTCACAGAAAACATGAAACCAGGGCCAGGATATGGAAGCAACCGACCAGCCATGAACAAGACCCTGGGATCCAGCGGAGGCGGTGTCTGTCCGCAGGGGAACATTACTGCGCCATGAAAAGGAATGGAATCCCACCGTTTGCCGAGGCTGGAAGGAGCCCGGGAGGTGTTATGCTGAGTGAAAGAGGCCGGATACACAGACAAGTTACCCCAAGATTCCCCTTCGATGTGGAGTCTACAGAACAAAGTGAATGACAAACACACTCCTAGGCACGGGAACGGACTGATGGTCGTCACAACCTGGTCTGAGTGG